GTGAAAGTGATGGCGGGGAGTTATGGAGAAAAATTTACCAAATGACTCGTCTATGAAGAGAAAATGCCAAAGGGGGCCTTGGAAACGCACTTATTTGTACCACTCCAGCTACAAACTATTGTACGGGTAAAAGACGGAAAGACCGCGCGCTGGGAAGAGTCCTGTCGGGTGATTCCTTGTAATGAGCGCCATGACTCTACAAGAGACAATGAAGCATCCACTTCATGCTACTTGCCCGGTAGCATTACTTTTGGCTGGAAGGCGGACTTTGGAGGCGGAGTCTGGAGGCGGAGTCACTGGAAAAAGGGATACCACTGAAGCAACTTTGCGCCTTAATCCTTTACCGTACATTTTTCCGCCACGAAACTGGCACAGATTTCTCCATGCTGAACTACACATGCCAGGAACTATGTAAAAAATTTAGATTGAGCTACCCTTATATACAGTTCATATCATGCAATCAGTCAGGTCGCAATTAGCGATCCCCACCTGTGGCGTTCCCGCCGCTGGTTGACTTTTTTCGAAATCAATCACCGGCACTACTGAACTATTCCTACCCCAAAAACTCAAAATTTTTTTCTCGCTGAAACGTCGCCTATAGATGTAATTCGATGCCCTGATCACGAATATCACATTCGTTTTGAGCGCTGGCGCCATTTGGCGCCATTATGCGCCAATTTGGCGCAACCATCTTTTCCACCAAAATCGATGAAAACTTGTATCTGGGGTTAATTGAGGTCCTGATTACGAATCCGACATTTGTTTTTGGCGCCAAATGGCGCCAACGCTCAAAACGAATGTGATATTCGTGATCAGGATGTCGATTAACCCCCATATACAAGTTTTCACCGACTTTGGTGAAAAAAGTGGTGGCGCCAAATTGGCGCATAATGGCGCCAAATGGCGCCAGCGCTCAAAACGAATGTGATATTCGTGATCAGGGCATCGAACTACATCTATAGACAAAAATTCAGCGAAAATTTTTTTCAGTTCTTGGGGTAGGAATAGTTCAATAGTGCCCAATCACCATACGATCACCATTGGTAGAGCCAAGAATTTTGCTGCAGGCATGCGGGAGGGCCGTCATCCAGCCCGCTGTCTCACGCTACTCCAAAAATGCGAGTCACCTTATCAAACGTCCTTATCGAAGGAGCCTTTTCCCATAAAGTCATGCGCGTAACTTATTAGCAAAGAGCTTGTCGTAATTGTTCAAGCTCACAGAATAAAATTCAAGAGTGAAATGGTGGTTCGCCGAATTTTTATCAAAGAAATTCTGTTTGGACAAGATATGACTGTAATTTAAGGCCACAACACTTTTTGTCGCCTGCGTTCGGTCTAATGGTTTAGCTATGAATCCGATCTGTGTTGTCAACCTGCCTGCGACATCTCTGCGATGGCGGATCGACGATTGCGCACGACTAACTTTACCGTTATTTGGTATGAGTTTTTCGTTGAGCCAGTTAGGAAGTTTTATTTTCATCTGATTTGCGTTTTAAATCAGCCTTCTTCAGTCTTTCAAACCGTAACGACCTCCGCGTCATCATTGCAATCCAAGATCAAAAAGGTAGGCTTTTTTCCTAAATGCGTAGTCATTCCACCGTATTTCAGAAAGACGTAGGGAATCTTGAAAAATACTTTACTAAGCCACCGGTCATGGTGATACCAAATGGTTTGTGGGCCTGCTTGCGCAATACATGCATAATATAATACAACAATATTAGATTGTCACTCTCTTCCTGGAGGCGTACTTTTCTACCAGGCCTTTCTTTTTTCAGTGGTGTCTATCAAAAGGCAGAGTTTCATCACAAGTTAAGAATAAATCGTCAATATGGTGGGAGATTCTAACCTTCCTGTATATTCTCAGAGAAGGAACGATTAACGGAAGTGCTTTAGCACATAGTTCTCTAATCCCCCTCAACCACAGATCCATAAAGTTGGCAGCTTGGCAAGGAAATCTGACAACGGAGGCAATACGAAGTCATATAAGACTGAGTTCATACTCGGCGGCTGCGTTCGCTAGCGTTTCCAACGTTCGCCAGCGACAGTGACAGGGAAAGGATAGACATCGATCTAGCATTTGCCAGCCAGCGTGCGCTAGCGTAGCGAGGGCTAGTATGAACGAGCCTAAGCGTTTGGTTCATGGTCGTGGTTCATAAGAAGTGGTTTCTAGAAGTTACTGGTTAGACGAAGAGCTGACGAACTTTTGAGACACAACTTAGTTTGGGGAAGAAATAAGAAGATTTCTACATCTTCATCCATGTGAGAAGTTTTCGCGTATACCCGGCTCCGCTGTAACTGCGTAACGTGGAAGCACTAAGAAGGCAATGAAAAATTTATAAAAATAAGCAATCAATAGATTCATTGAACACAAACAACAGAGATTGGATACCTTTCTTTACCTTCTGAAATATGTACTGAGCCAATAATATAAACTTCATCGCCTACGACCTCTTACCCACCTCACGACTCAGCTTCTTGAAATATTTGGGACTGAAGGCCGAAGTGGGTAGTTACCTAATCTTCGTACTGGTCTTGATTATCGGAATTGTTGTCTCGTAGGTCTTGCTTCGTAACTCAACAAGTGATATTCAAGAGAAAGGAGGACCGTGGGGTACGCATGATTCCTATCTCATCCGGATTTGCAATCATTTTAGGCAGTACAAGCAGTACAGTAGAAAAGACAAATACTTTGCTGTTTCGCGCTTCTGAAGGACTCTATCGGTCATCTTCTCTGTTATATGAGCACTCGTCGTCGTCAACACAGTAGTCCATCTCCTAAAATGTCCTAGTCGGCATCTTTGTCGTCCAGTGATGTGTCCCGATTTTCTTTTCCGATTACTCGGTCAGGAAATCCATTCTATGGGGATAAAGAAGCCGGAATCGAAAGACCCTGCAGGCTTGGCCGAGTTTTTACGGATTCTATGTCGAGGGTATCTTATTTGAAACTAAAAATGAAAGCAGTGTGATCTCCAGCGGCGGTCGTAGATTGCACCTAAGTGGAGCAGTCATTTTACGTCTGATAGCTGTTCGCCTCCATAGCAAAACCTTCTGCAAGTCACATAGTCACAGTGTCGCAGGACGTTTCGCTCAGCTCACTATTGCAAGGGAGCAGAGCTATTGGAGCTACGCGTAATGTATATAGTCTGAGAACACTTTGAAAGAACATTTTTCTTCGGAGACCGCTCTGCTTCGCTTCACTCTGCAGTATCGAATTTCTGTCGAACAATTCCGTATTTCCAATTTGTGCAGGGGATTTCTGAAAATCTGAAGTCGTGTTTCAAGCCCCGGTGTCGCCAATTCACTACTGTGTTCACCACCAGGGGTTCCAACTTGCCAAGCCTCCCTCTTTTTGCTCTCAGATCCTGTTGATATGAGGATCAGAGCAAACCTCACAATTCTTCCAGTCGTAAGTGAACGTGTGTTTCGCCAACTCCATCACTTCTTTCCTCGGCAGCTGTCACAGCTCAAAGATGTTTCTTTGCACCTTCAAAGCTGTTTAGCTTTTGTTTTCCCCCATGTTTTTATGTGTAGACGACCAATTAATGGCGCTTTAGCTCAGTCACCTGTTGCCTTTCGCACCGTGCAGTGCATGTAGCGATCTGTCATGCTTCGTGAGCTGCGTAATGCCCTTCAACGTTACTGGTGAGTTTATTAATTATCTGGCACTGATCCGACGTCCAAAGTGACTAATGCCCAATAATTAATGGTAGCCTTTTTGTCAACAGTTGATCAATAGCTTGACAGAATGTCAATTAGTTATCGTGGAGGCGTTCAAAGGTACACTAGGACTATAAACCAGGGCACGTCGTACGTTGGAAATCCGCGGCGAGAGGGTCGTATTCGATCGAGAACTCTCTTCGAGAAAAACGTTCTCGTTTGTTAAATTTTCCTCGGTCTTTCTTGTTCCAGTAGTGCTCTTTACGCTATGCGCTATATACCACCCCACGTGCATACGTCTTTTTTGGTTTATAAACTGGAGAGATCATGGAAAGAAAATTCCGGGAAAGAGGTAGAAAGTTGGAGCAACTGAGAAAGATGGTAGATGGGGTAAGGGAACGAATATCGTACCATAAGAGAAAGCGCGGACGGGTGTGGTGTTCCGTTTGCAAAAGATTCCCCAACGGCAAAAAAATAAATAGAACAAAATCAATAATAATGAAATAAATAAATAAAATGCATCCCAAGGCATGATGCACTTATTCAGAACAGTAGCTATCAACCCACGCCTATTATAGTAGGGTTTGTATAGTGGCAAATGGTGCCACTACTGCAAATGCCATTTCCCAGAGCTGTGGAGAGTGTGGCTGCGCTCTCCATTTGGACCTAATGGCAGCTTTGGTGGACATTGCCCTTCGAACGAACTTTACCTGCGCCTTTGTGCTGCAAAGGGCTGCATAGCATTTATCCTAGAAAGAAGACATTTTATGGAAGGCACATCCTGTACCAGACTCAAATAAAGTACGCAGCCACGCCCTCCCCATCTCTAAAGTCGCCATATGTCTGATCTTTCTCTGATCAACGAACCCTTCCATACCTCTGGAACCGTTTAGCAGGCAACACACTTGTCTGAAAGTATAAACAGGTAAGGATTTCGTCCTGCCTTCGTAGCTCATTCTTAGGTAAAGGACAATTCTGTTTGGAAGTTGAACGCATGGCACAACAATAGCTGGCTGGTTATTTCCGAGCTCTCTTATTGCCATTCAAACTTGAAGTGTTTCTCTTAAGGGATGCGGAGGGGGGGT